CAGCTTTTAATGAACCTGGTTCGTTGAAAGAGAACAGATTCTTGTTTACAGGAGGCAGGAGAGAAGACAAAGTCACAGCATGAAGCGATTTTCTCCTACAATATACATAATATAACCTAGGAAATCCCTGAAGGAATCAGAAACAGACAAAATGTTTTAATATTTACATTCTGTTATCATGTTCACCCCTGTTTGGATATGATCAGGAGTGTATTTTGCACAATATATCTTTTGTCTTTTTGTCTTTTTTACCTCTGTTTTATTTTGTATTTTTTCCACATTTGTTGGTTGCTTATGATACATTTCACAAAGGGATTATGTTTTTTATAAATTTAATTAAAACTGTCCTTTTATTATTGGTTGTTCTAAAAAATCTGTTCGATAAATCATTGTTTGTTATTAACAGAATCAAGCTGAAATACATTGACCTGTTTTCCCCTTTATTAATAGTCTATAAGGAAATACAAGCTTTTATTTATTGTTTTCTGAAGACTTCCAACTCAGAAATTCGATGTTGTTACGTATTGGGTTGGCAAACTTAACTGTGAAATTGGCAGCAGGTAATGTGAAAGCAGTAACAATGTCCTGCAGCTTATCAAAAGGAAATCCTGTTTACAGCTTCATGGGTTATGCCAACCTGTGTGTAATCTTGATCTATGTTTATAATTGTTACTAAAATGCTTGTTCTTTTTCCTGCTGGCACAGTTTTTGAGATTAATATTCAAAAAGCAATGAAATGTACAGAATGAAATGATGGCTGTCATTTTTTGTTAGAAAGCAAGCTATTGTTTTGATCTTATATTGGTAATTTTCTGTTACTGTTTCAGATCTTTATCTGGAGTTGCATAAATAAACGGAAAACTTCTAGCGTGCAATAGTGTGCAGACTTCCGCAGGAAAAGAGCTGGATAGAGGATATAGAACAGTTATTTTAGCCATGCGCTAATGATCACAGAAATCACACCTAATCAAAGATGATTGATTTTTATAATTATACAGTTTAGTCCTTTCTTAATCTTTAACAAATTATCAGCCTAGAAATGAATCTCTATTTAAACACTTTAAAACAAACAAATGAGCTACACTTGAAAATGTAATAGGACATAAAAAAAAAAATCCCTTAGATTCATAACAAGAAATACATGTAGTCTGACATCTAGTGGTGGAAAAGCTGTATTGCAATGCAATTATTGGGGTCAGAGGACGTGGTGTTCCTTCCTACCTTTAGCTTTGCTTTGAAAACGGTGATACAGTAAATCATGAAACAGAATGATCATCATTAAATTTTGTCATTAAATACTCAATGGTATCAACTGAATTTAATTCAACATATTTTGATTTAACATATATTTTTTAATCATCAAAATAGGCAATGCAAAAACATTTTTAACAGGACATTGTGAAGAGATTTCTGTAGTGACGGTGGGTTTACAGGCCAACAAAAGGAACCAACAGCAAAAATAATTAGGCATGCTTTTTTCTGTGCAGCTCTGATTTGAGAAATGTATTTAAAGCTGTCTTTGCTTTTGTGTCATGCTTTGTCAAAATGTCAAAATTTCCTGACAAAATTTGCAAACATTTCCTGATGGTAGAGGATGTGAGAAAACTAGTAACAAAATGCAACAATGAAAATGACAAACAAACTATTTAATGAAAATAGGGATTTGAATCTTTAAACTATTTCACAATTATCATAACTTTTTTTTACACACTTCTTCTGATTCACTTCACTGTTCTTTATACTTCTTTGGTTAAAATCTAAGTTAAGAATTTATTTGAAACTAATTGTTGAATAAAATAAACAAATCAATTTTGCCATTTGATTTCTCTTTGTATTTTTTTTGTTTGTTTGTTTGTTATTTACTCGGCATTAAAAGTTGAGTTGAAGTATAACTGCAAGGCTGTTTGAAGTGCTCGTAAAATAGTAGAATGGGAGCAGATCTTTTAGTTATCAGGCTCCTCTTCTGTGAAACAAACTACCAGTTTTAGTACATGTGGCAGACACCCTGTCTACTTTTAATTTTTGATTAAGCTCATAGGTAGAGTGGCTCAGGCTATCTTGAGCTATCTCTATAGTTACCCTGCTATAGGCTTAGACTGCTAGAAGGTAGGGACCCCTTTTTATCATTCTGCTTCATTCTATCTTTACTCTCCCATTTTGCAGAATTGGTTAGTTCAATGTCTAACGTTTTGCTCTCTCTGCTTTTTCTCATAGCAGCTTCATCTGGTCTGTTCCTGTTTGGCTGTGACACCATCCTGGAGAGAAATATCAACTGTGCTGCAACACCTTTTTTATACGTTGATGCTTGAGCTTTGCCTGTTTTTCAGTGTAGTTGTGTTTCTCTTACTGTGACTAACTGGATGTACTCTCTTTCATCCTCTGACATGGGAGCTGCCTCGGAGCTCGTTTGCCCTCGTTTTTCCTGGGCCGCCTGTGGAGCTGGTTGGCAGTTATCTTTTGTATCTCCACTTTTTTTCTATCTCTGCTTCTGTCTCCTTGAACCCCAGTCGGCCTCATCAGATGGCCGCTCACACTGAGCCTGGTTCTGCTGGAGGTCTTTTTCCTGTTAAAAGATGGTTTTCCTCTCCACTATCACCACACGCACGCTCGGTGTGAGCGATTCCAGTCAATGAGTTGATGCAATCAGCTGGTTTTTTTAGACAGAAAACCTGGAACCCATCTGCCTGTATGATCTGGTTGAATTGTCTCTGTAAATTTCCTTGGGATGATATGTGTTTTGAATTGGTGCAATATAAATAAACTCAATTGAATTTAATTAAAATAAATATTTTGGCACACTAAACAGTAAACCTGGGGTGCATTATTCCGTAAACTAAAGCATGTTTCCATTATACTTTTATTAACTAAAATCAGACTTGGAATTTTAATATGAGTGAACTAAAAGTATACTAAAAGATGGGTACTTTAAGGTAAAGCAGAACGATATTGTCCCAAGAAGTTTTAGTAACCCTCTAGTATACTTGCATCAACCATCTTGGGATGTATACTTCTGTATACTTGAAAAAATGAACGTAAAATATACTTAGTTTTAAAAAATCGTTTTGATAGGACTCTAATAGTCTTAAAGATGGCTCCTGATTAGGCTATTTGAGTTACACTCCTTATTAAGTTGACATTTTTTGATTAGTGGATATCTTTTATTGAATCTTGAAAGTCATTGGAGATGTTGTACTGTTGTTTTATGTTGATGGTTAAACCTTTTAAAAGAAAATAAAACTGTTAATTGCAACAGTAGGCTAAAAAAACTGTGTGAATAGTAGCTACTGTAGTTACATTTACTAGTAACATTTTGAAAAATAAAAATACTTATGGAGTAGTTTCAGTGTACCGTACTTTTTTTACTTGAGTAATAATAATGTTAAGTATTGCTACTCCTACCTGAGTTAATTTTCTGAGTCCTCTGTGAGTAATTTGAATTATTTCAAGATCCGGAGAACATACTGCAAATAGATATTGTCAATGTAAATTCTTTACCATGTCCGGACATATATACAATTCTCAGAGGCGTAGCAAGAAATTTTTTATAAGGGTGGCCAGGCAATAACCAATGTACACTGAGGGGTGGCCGAATACGGATAGACACCAGAACCTCAGGGTCAATCTACACTGTTCCGGCAGGAACAAGCAAAACATCCATATTTTCTAAAAAAAGACCAACTATACTTTCAGCCTTTGCTAACAAATAGAGGCATATATTTAAACATCCGTAATTTCTAGATAAAAAGGTGTAGTGGATAAAACTCTGTTTTTAGTTTTGGGGCGTAAATCAATCATCATTGTCATGACTGACCTACTTGTATCAATAAACATTCTGCATAAAATTGATATTTACAAGCACAAATATCATATTTACATAAATTGATTATTTGATAAGTTTATATTCAAATAGTTATTTATCTTTCTTTCACTGAGGATTCCTAGATTACTTGTAAAGATATATTTTTCTCTTTACCCCATAGAACACAAAATCTAGATCTGAAATGAGCAGGAATTCTGTACTTATCATCTTTGATGTTAGTATACTGATGTGCATAATTAACTAAAAAATAAATACATAAATAAAATGTTTTGAATTTTCCACTTGAGAGTATTACTGCTGCCACCGTCTGTATTAGAAGGAAATAAAGGCAGGGGTGACCACAGATTGGCTAAGGGTGGCCATGGCCACCTAAGGCCCCCCATCTAGCTCCGCCACTGACAATTCTCCCTGTAAGGATTGATTTTTTTTTTTTTAAGTTTTAAGTAGACTTTTTTAGACTTTAGACAGATTTTATTTTTTATACAAGTGTAAAACGAAAAGAAATTTCTTTTGGAAACAGCTCAATGGACAATTTCATCTTTTTAAAGTGCAGCCTTGGAAAAATAGTAAAAATGACTGTAAATTTACAGTACTAACTTTTTTTTTAATAAAAAAAACAAAAACTATTTCTTCAGTACGAATTTCTTCTTATATATTTGACATTTATTTGTAATCGTTATGCATTTTAGTCTTTAAAATACCTGAACCTGTACATAAAGTCTGCATAATTTCTAAACATTAAATCAGACGTTAGTAATAATAATAATAATAATAATAATAATAATAATACATTTTATTTGTAATGCACTTTACATTTTTTTAAAATCTCAAAGTGCTACAGGTAAAATCATCATAGAAGGGTAAAATCAAAATGTAAAACTAAGCATCGCATCCAACAATGGAAAAAAAAAACGTTAACTGATTTTTACATTTTATTTCAGTAGTATAATATGAGAAAAAGTCAGAATTCTGACTTTAATCTCAGAATTCTGACTTTTTCCTCAAAATTCTGATTTTCATCTCAGAATTATGACTTGACAATTTTTACTTGAGTATCTGTTGAACTAATGCTCCTTTAACTTTGATTCTGCTTTGTTATCCGCTTCAGGTAGAGCGAACTAGGAAGTATGGGGCGTGTCTTCTCTCTGAGAGGCACCTTCCACTTTCCACGCACTTGTTTACGTAGCGTCTATTTCAGATCACCTGTACTACTCTTACTTCTACTCTTAACATGACTTCCACCGGGCTGGATGCATTCCTTTATCCCAGAGAAGACGTCGCAGAGAGAAAGTTGGTTTAGAAGAAGCAGACAACGCACAGGTAGGCTGAATGGACGCACAGAGTTCTGTGGAGAGCATCGGGAGCGCGCTCCGAATCCCCAACTCCACCTTACTTCCGGGACTTCAGCGAACTAATCTGCTCCCAGTCTTTCATTACTGGGCAGAATGATCAAATCCAATGTGCTTAATGTCCAGTAATGAAAGACAAGAAACCAAGCAGCTGACTGGACAACAGGAAGTAGTAGAGTTGCGCATGGGGTCCATTTGGTATCTGTGGTTGGCACCGCGCTTAGTTTGGCCCAAGTCTGATGGTGTTTTTAATGGATAATCGATGCCCTTCCTTATTTGGTTTAAACAATAAAACCAGATTCTGAACATGAGGACATGTTGCTGTAGTCAATTAAATCTACATGCATACAAAGTTCTGGCTGATGACTTTAAGTGACCTACAACAGTTTTTGAAGAGGTAATGGTTGTGAAATATAGCAGTGTTTGACTTGATCCTTCCGAAGTCTGCAGTCATTTCTTTGTTTTGTTCAGATGCAGGATCAGATCATTGTTTCGACACCATGCCTCAAAGTAGTTAAACAGCTCCTCACACTCATCTCCTATTACAACCACCTCCCACACAGTCATCCAAGGATTTCTGAAGACAGGACTTTGTTTGATATTGAGGTTTGTAGAGTAAAAAGGAACATTTGTAAATCCATTCTTATATAAGATTTTTGATTTCAGAAAGTTGTATTGTCGTTAATGTGAGACAAGTTACTCCCTTCAAAGGAAATGTCCAGTCATATTCAGACTTCAAACTTCTGAAAGTACTTAAATATGAAATTATTACACACTGTTCAATAAATGATAAGTGGTTTTAATTAAGTGTAATTTTCATTTGAATGGGCTTAACCAGAGACATCCATGCTTGTGAAAGAACACTACTTCCACCTACTGGTTTGTGACCTCATGGTGCGGTATCGGCTGTTGATCAAGTCCCAGTGCTGTATCTGGTGTTTGTCACAACGCATTATTATCCAAGTCATCTTGACAACGTTCTTCTTCGAAAAGTTGGCTACATATTGTTTTTTTTTTCCTCTGGCCAGAACTTCAAAAGCAAAGCCTCCCTTTTCAAATTGGTAATCCAACTACAAACCTGTCCGTAGCATGCACAGTCAATGCTAAAAGTATGAATGGTCCCAAATATAAAGGAGAAACATTGACCCATGGTATGCTGAATCCAGCAAAGTAAAATATGTTAATACTGTGCACTAGCATTTGTCAATAAATCAATAAGCTGTCCCAAATATAAAAAAAAGAAAAAAAAAAAGATGTTTCATTGCCCTTTACTATGTGACAATACTGGGTTTAGGTTTTAGCACATTCCTGACCACAGTTCTGCAAAGAGTCAATGTTGTCAGAGCTTGCAGTATTAATCTACTTTAGTTAATAGTTTATTGGTTTATATGTCTTCACTTCATACGGCCATGATATATTTAGTTCCTTTTCAGATTTGGGGTGTATAAAAATATGCATTAATTCAATATGTGATAGTAAAATATTTAAACCGAAGAATGAATGTTATATGGGAGACCTTAAATATGAGAAAACACTTTGTTAGGTTTTGCCGAACGACAAACTTAGAGGTATCTCACAATTTCATGGTCATTGTCAGCAGCGAAATGTCTTCAAACTTACAAAAAAGTACAGTGGATTTTTTTTTTTTTTTTTTACTTTTTTGGAATAACTATGACCTGGATGACTGAGAATATTCACCAGCACTTTGTATACCTAACAACCATCAAAGCCTAAGGCATTGCATGATTATAATTAATGATGCATCAATGAACAGAGCCTTTGTTTTATGCTTTTACAGACCGAAAGTATAGTGGGTTTTTTTTTCTAAGAAATACCGGATTTTGCAACTATGCAGAACCATTAAATCCTACCTGCTTTTGTTCACTGGCTGACTGATTGGAGCATAGATATTTTGCATTTCCCTTACTGACTGAAAAAACATGAGCAGATTTTGAACTCAGTGCCAAGCTGAAAGTTCTGGTGGGCGGGATCTTATTTTTTGTTTGTTTCAACCTTTTTTCTTTTCATTTTTTTACTGTTCAGCTCTAAATAGACATGATGCTTTATCTTCCTTATTGTGTTTAGCAAGTAGAGCAGGGAGTCAGCAGAGAGCAGAGGGTAGGTTTGATTTCATTTGTGGATAGATCAAGTCTTTCTTGATCAGATTCTGGTTCAGTTTACCTACATGTGCTTTTAGTTCATGTTTTATTCTAGATATAGAATTTTGGGATGTTTGTATCCTCAGTTTTGATGTGCAGGAACTTGCTCTCAGGTACTGTCCATATCTTTTTGTCATGAATTTCTACTACCTCTCCTCAAATTCAAAGAAAAAAAGATTGAATTTTAAAGTTTGACATGAAGTGGTCCTAATGGAGTTTCTCTCTCTTCCTTTAACTGCACATCGGTATTCATCTCTTTTTAAGCCATAAAGATTTAAACGATAAACTGGCTTTGTGCAAATGTTGAAAACTAATACACTAAGTATGGGTGTAAAGTGTAGATGGTTTGCAATCAGTTTGAAAAACGGTAAACATAGGTGAAGTAAAGAGGGAATAAATAAAAATATCTATAGGAGCTAAACCTGTTTCCCCATCTTCCTGAATAACCGGTTTTATTGTGCTGCAGCTTTCTCCCTCCCACTTGGTGTAGAGTTGTTTTAAACTGAACTATCTCTCAAGATCAGTAGTTAACAGAAAGGCTCACCTTACAGTATCAGTTAGGCTGGCTGTAATGTATCTAAAGTTATCAAACTTTATGAGTAAGGCTAAGTTCAAAATGCCTAAATTTGAATGCTTGAACTGCTGTGCCTGTGTTTTACTTTGTTCCCTTAAAACAAAACATTTTAGGGTAACTTACAGAGCTTTTTAAATAGTTATTTATCCTTATTTTTAGCTGATATGGAATCTTATTCAAGTGGTTGGGCTTGTGGACGCCAATGGAGATTTGTATTAAGAGGTATGCCTATTTTTTCTCATAAGTTCTGTTGTTTCCGTCATTCCCAAAAAAAATCCATGCAAATTGAACCTGAAGAACGGATCCTTCATGGTTCAGTGATTGAGGTTACCATGTGATTGGCTGATTATAAGTGTACCAAAAAAAAAAAAGTGACAAATGAGTTTATTTTATAGACATTTCCCCAAGTGGAAGTTTATTTTTAACAGAATCAAGTTATTAACAAATCACATTTTGTTGTGTTGTTTCATGATTTACTCAGAAACTTTCTTGATTTAAAAGTAAAGGATCTCAGTAAAAATGTGTCTGTTCTGGTTTGGCTTCTTTTACTTCAGTAATCTGCTACTCTCTTTTCTAAAAACTTTCACTGGTCACTTTTAGTTAGATATTTTTGCAGCCAGGCTTGACTTGACTTATGAATTAAAACTTCACTGGTGAATTTATCTTGATGTATTGAAACTAATTCCAAATGAAAGGGCGTTGCATGCAAGATCCCATAAAGTTTATTTATTTACTTTTTAAATGTTCCTTAATTGAAGTGCATTCAAAGGCTTTTAGTTTATTTAGAAATCTTAAATTATGAATTTCTGCAGAGTTTTTAATATAATTACTTTTTTTCTTTTTACAGTTTTAATGGAGAACAGGAGAAGACTAAAGAAGATTTTCATCGGCATTTTGGTGGGAGTGACTGTCACCATTATTTACCTGACTGCTGAGGATAAGCCTGAGCCCTTGTATGGTCCAGGATATAAAAAAAACAATTTCACAGCCTCTCCAACACCTGAACCAAAGTGGGACCCAGGCCCGTATCATGTGGCTTACCCTCGGAACTACAGGTTCATCATGGATGACACACCAACGTGTAAGACCACCAGTCCGTTCCTGATCTTGATGGTTCCTGTCGCTCCTGCCGACGTGGCATCCAGGGACACCATCCGAAGGACGTGGGGGAGCGAGAAACTTGTCCTTGGTCAGCAGATTGAGACAGTCTTTATAGTGGGACTGCCTGAAAGGAAGGCTGCTAAGCAGCTGCAGGATGAACTTAGAGAAGAGAACAAGCAGCACCACGATCTCATTCAGAGTAATTTCCAGGACAGCTATCACAACTTGACCATCAAGACCATGGTTATGCTAGAGTGGCTGGCTGAGCACTGCAGCAAGTCTACCTTCATAATGAAAATTGACTCAGATATTTTGCTTCATGTTAAAAAGTTAGTTTCATTGTTACTTGATCTGAAGACACCTAAAGAAAACTACATGACTGGTTTGGTATGGTGGCACAGCCCAGTGTTAAGAAACCCATTTATCAAGTTTTATATGCCAAAAGACGTAATAGCAGAATCAGAGTACCCACCCTACCCTCTTGGCATGGCTTACGTCATGTCGTTGGATCTACCTAAGAAAATCTTGTCTGTTTCCCCTCAAATCAAACCCATCTACATTGAAGATGCATATCTGGGGATGTGCCTGAAACGCCTGGGTATCTCCCCCACTGACCCTCCTGATGAAAGCATGTTTCAGGTAACCCCCCAGCATCCTTTGAGCAGCTGCGATCTCTCAAAAGTCATCGCCATGACTACGACAAGTATTTCACAAATGCAGGTCTACTGGCAGAGGATCCAACAAGGAGTTCAGTGCGGAGCATAGTTGGAAAGTTATCCTTCTGGGTGGTTTGTAAGTTTTCCCAATGATTCTGAAACATGGAAGGAAGTGTGTCTGATTTGCTATCTATTTGAATTAAGGTTTAAATTTTTTTTTAAAGTAAAATGAATGGAGAACCTGTCTGTCATGGTTGTTAACGTACACTGATCTGAGGATTTATTTCCTCTTCACCAAGCTTACAGCGATATTTTTGCAATTACTGACAATAACAAAAAACAAAGTGTTCTTTATATACTACATAGATTTGTACCATATTGACAGGAACACCATCACTGTGGCAGGGATATTCGGTAAAGTCTTGATTGCAAGGTGATTAAGGATAGAATAACTGCTCTGTTACACAACTTGCTGGGATGCGCTCTAAGCCGCCAACAGATGTTGCAATTTTTAACTGTGTTTGAGAAATCTTATTGTCAATAAAATGATTGACTGATCCTAAGTGTTAATGACTTGCTTTGACATACTTTGTTTTATTCTGTTCTCCAGATGGTACATTATTGCAATCATTTTAATTCAACATGATTAGTAAAGTCTCTGAAATATGAGGGCTGGTAATATCCGTCTAATATTAAGTGATTGGTTTGTGCAACCAATAGAAAAAAGGAGATGGTATTCAAGTAATGTAGTATGAAAAATAATGTTTTATTTTCCATCATATGAAAGTTCATAGTCTGGAAATCAATTCTACCAAAATACCTTATAGTAAGTCAGTTTAAAGCTCCTTGGTTTTTCCTCATACCAGGTCTGATCCCAGAGAAAAGCTTTTCTAAAGCAGAAACTAAGAGGAGGAACCATTATTTAATTTCAAGTTTGAGGATGAACTAGTGAAAATAAAAATGAATTTGAGATTACCTGGATAATATTAAGGGAAACATAGGCTGCCTTAAAGCACAGTGCATAAAGTAGTGGTGAAGAGAAATGTCACATATACAAAATTATATATGCAATTATTTTTGAGTTATACTCCTGAAGAAGAAAGATAGAGGAGATACATATATTTGGTCCTTAAATGAGTAATGATAATTTAATGTAAAAAGAAGTGGAAGTTCTTGTAGAGTAAACAATATACAAATTCATTATTTGTCATAATAGCCCACTTAGGTTCTGGGTTCAATTCCTAGCCTGGGGTCTTTCTGATCGGAATATGCATGTTCTCCATAAACATGCGTGGATACTCCAGCTTCCTCCCACAGTACAAAAAGACTTCTCTTAATTTTCCTTTTTTGGATAAGCGGGATGGAAAATTGTGGGATCTTTGTAATCATGTTTTTCCTTCTACTATTTAAATCTATTAAATATTTAACTGCAAAACATTGTTAATGAGTAATATTAAATTGTGTAAATAATATCCAAGAGTTAATCTTGCTCTATCATTGCAAAAAGCTTTAAAACATTATTTACGTAGGTAATAAACTCAGGATTTTTATCATCATTGTTGTAGTTCATCTTCACACCAGTAGGGAGCAGTCTAGCATCAGATGAAGGCTGTAACCCTGACCTAAGCCTACCGGTAATCAAAGCTCTCAGGAGTGCCTTATAATGAGCCATGACTTTTAAAAACATCTTTCACTCATTTTTGTAGGAGTAATCATATTATAACAAGACTTTATGTATTCATGTGGAGCTAGATTAGTATCAGTTTTCACAAATACACATATGTAATTAAATTACAAAGTATCAGTGGTCTTTAAATTTCACTGCATTTGGGAGTGGATTTTTGACACTCCCTTTATGTGCATCGATACACAAATGCATTTTTTTTTAAACAGGATGGCTTGCCACCAATCAGCTCCCTTTTATAAGCCAATTACAAGAAAGTATTCCAGGTGGGATGACCCCCAGATCACCCATCCTCTGTATCTGCCTAACGATAATGTGGCTATAAAGGAATTGAATTTGAAGTTAAATGATGTAAACCTTAATCTAAGCTTTAAATACAGGGTTCATGTTGGACGTTTAAAGACCTCATTTTTGTATTGCCCTATTTTCTCTGGATTAATGGAATTAACAGTTGTAAAATAAATATTCCTACAAACAAACCTTATATTTATAGCTTGTGTATGGCTTTAGAATACAGATATTTCCACATTTGTTCATTTTGGGACGTACATTTTGAAGTACTTAAAATAAAAAATCACATGGCTCAGACAACAGGTGGATGTTTTATTGTTTTTTTGTTCATTTTGGGCTCATTTTCATCCACATCCTGTTTCCCTCCTCTAAACAGTTTATTTGGGTGTGCATCTGCTGAGAATATACCTACATCCATTTGTTGTCTCACCATTTTAAGTGGCTATAGACATAAACACACACAGAGACTGTACAGACTTTCTCATTTGTACACACAGCAGAGGGAATTGCTCACCTTCTCCATTCATGTTTTTAGACTAGATGAACTGAAACGGAATTTTCAGTGCCTCTGATTTTGAATATTGCCTTCCTTTGATGTATGCAAGTTTTTTTTCTATCTGATTTAAATGATCTAGTTTTAGAAATAGCTGAATATACTGTACTATAAGACAGTTATACATAAAGTGTGAATACATTTTAATTGGACTTAACATTTCTGAAAATAAAGTCAAATGCCCTCATACAGATGTGAAGACATGAATTCGTACCCCTGCTAATGTGTAGCCTCAATCTTTAATTGCAAAAGAATAATCTCAATATGAAAGGTAAAAAAAAGAAGACAAAAACTATTTAAACAGTATAAACAAACTGAAATATCTGCACCTTTTGAAAATAAAATCATCTTTTCACTAAGCTGACATTTCTGTATTAAACGAGCCAGTTAGAGCAAAGCAGATCCAGCCATTGTTTCACATCACCATCCCCTCAGCAGAGGACAGACTGCCAAGCAGCCGCCTTGAGTGGGACAGCACCACCTGTAACTGGACACAGAGTAGGCCCCACATTTAGTGAAGACCTGAAATTATCCTACAGAGAAGGTAACCCAACGCCCAATCCTGGAAAATATTATTTTCAGCCTAGAGTTACAACAACACTTCCCCCCCTCATGCCCAAAATTACAGACATTCATTACCATACCCTCAATGACACACAATAATGATCCCATGGTCAAACTTGCACCGCTCACACACTACTCCAGGTCCAGGTTCTGTTACGCAGAAAGGGCGACCAACTCCCTTACCAGAGAGGTGATCCCTCCAGCTGACACCATGTATACTCCCACGGCCCATACCCTGACGACCCCTGAAGCCATCCATCCAGATGTGAGGCCGAAGGAGCCAGTGGACCACAGCTGCCCCAGGATGAAATAGTCCTGGACTCACCAACGAATCCAACACAGGTGGCTCTGTTTGAGCTGCAGACACAATCTCTCACACAAACTCACTTCTAACCATGAAGCTTTATGATATGATAGAATTCCAAACATCAACCAGTTTAAAAACAAATATAAACAAATTATTTTTATAAGATACAGGGAGGAGGGGACTTGAGGGGGAATAGAACTTGCTCTGCCACTATGAATTAAAATCGATAAGAGGTCAAGAGAGATGAAATAATAAAAAATTAAAAAAAAGTGTGAGAGAAAAGGGTTTTTGGTTTATGGATATATATGGATATATGTGTACGTATATGTAGATAGAGATATGTGTATACTGTCTATAGTTATTGGGGTGTGTATGTATATGCATGTATGTGTGTATGTGTTTGAGATACGGGTGTATGTGTAAGTATGCATGTGTGTATATATATGTATAGGTATCTGTGAGTATGTGTATGTATATATATATATATGTATATATGTATGGGTGAGTGTGTGTGTATATATGGATATGTATGTATGCTTAAACATAGGTAGATGTTAATATAGAACAGGGGTAGGATTTAATAAGTTTTATTACTTCTTCCTACTCCTTTTCAAACATGATGGGATGTACATATGTTTTTTTTTTCTTTTTCTTCTTTTTTGTTTGTTTTGTTTTGTATGACTTTAATAATTTACTTATATTTGCTTTTTATTTAGTGTTCGAAATAAATGATCAAAAAAAAAAAAAAAAAAAAACCCGATAGAAGAAATGCAAATTTTTTTAAGTCAGGAGCAGAGGCTCTTTGCTTTTATTTAACAAATAGATAATAAGCTAATTATTATCTTACATTTAGGTATTGAGTAAGTGCTTTCAGTATGTGTTAGTGAAGTTATAGCACTGGTGAGTATTTATTGATTCTATTTAACTCTAAATATCCACTAACATCACACCAACTATAACTTGAATACGTCATACTATCTCATTTAATTAAGCTAATGCTGCCACCAGGTGGTCAACAAACAGAAAACAGATTATTTTCAACTGTTAAGCATTTTTTAGAAACTATAGGCAACCCACTTTGTACCTTCTTGTTTTTCTTTTATAAAGCCTGATATGGAGCCTAGGCGGAAGGTCAACTAAAGAAACTCATTGCTCTCCTACATTCACCCGTGACACTGCCAATCAGCTTTGAACCAGACCTTCACGACAGCCAATTGCCATCAAAAGTTCTTCTTAAAAGGCCTCCGATCCGCACTTGTCTGCTCCTGTGTGCAGGCGGTGGTTGCGCTGTGACTTCATTCAGATGACATAGTTTTAACCCACCTCCAGCCCCTCCTCCTGGACTCTTACTGCGTTCTCTGTCTCATCTCAACCGGTCCGGCAGAAGACCGCCATGTTGAGCCTGGTTCTGCCAGATATTTCTTCCCAATGGGGAGTTTTTCCTCTCCACTGTCGTTTCATGCTTGCTCATCGTAGACAGGTTCTCTCAACCTGTGTTATCCAACTGGACTTCCATCTTCCAGGTCACTGAGTGAAGCTCTAGTATCAGCTCATGCAGTCCACTGGATCTCTCCATAAAGCTCAGCATACCGACTCGCTAACCAGCAGTCTACAGACTGACCAACTTCATCTATCTCCGCTCCACCATCAGTTTCAGACCTGGGGGGGAAACAGCCATATTCTTTGCTCCTGTTCATGCATATCTAACAAAAATTAAGTGCTATGTTTCCTGCTGAGGTCTGAGCGGCAAAGACAAAGTAATTGTATCAATAAATTTCTCTTTTCTCTTCATGTGAGTTTTACAGATTGAACTATGAGGTACACATAACTCGTGAATTATTTGAGTGACAGCCGAGGGGTAAAGGAGGAGCCCTTTTTCTCATGTTATCTCCTTCCATATAAATAACCCTAGAATAATCAAACACACTGACGAGGGATCGTGTGTCTTGAGATGAAGACGGGAGAAAACATGCATAAGAAGCTGTCATTTGATGATTGAGAGAAAACAGAGAAGGTAAAGTAGATAAGCGGGAGTGGCGGCCTGGTGGTTTAGGGCTTAGAGCTTGGAATCCTGAGGTTTTGAGTTCGAGCCCCACTGCCACTCTGTCTCTCTG